TTGTGAATCGAATCGAATTTAATCGTTCTGAATTTGCAAAAATCGTTCTCGAATCGAATCGAAAACCTATCGAGTCGCTGTCTACCCAAAGATCTACAGCCCTACTAACAACAATGCTGAGAAAGTCTTCAGCGATTTCAGTGGTTTGTGGCCCCCTGGTGGCCAAAAGTTATAGATCATTTTATTTTGCATTTATTTGTTTCTGAAATTGTGTCCATTTCTGAATGTTTACTTGTATGCTTAAAACTGCAGTTAGCTACATGTGAAGCTGCAAGCACTGTTTACACCATGAGTGTCTTTATTCTATTGTTTTGGTTTCATTTCTTGTGATTTATGTTTGTTGATTCTTTTTTATTAACTGTTAACTTAATTATTTGAATTATTACCTGATTGTAAAAATGGCTACATGTCATTTCTTCATTTGTTAACATTTACATTTATATTTAAATATATTACATTATTATAGGATGGATGGATATAGATATATTTCATATTAATATTATATTATACATAGGTTTTGTTGTGGTGTTGAAATTGGAGTCAACACCACTTATGAAATTGTGAAATTTCAGTGGTTTTGATCTCAACTACTGAAATCAGTTAATCAGTTATTGAAACCCCTATGAGATCATCATCAATAATCAATATGTCTCAATGCTTACAGCTGAACCTCTTCACCCAGTCTAGCATGAGGATGGCAGACTCTCACAGCTTCAACAGCATCCTAAATCAACCCACACGCTATCAGGCAAGACCGCCATCATCTCTCTCTCTCTCTCTCTCTCATATGATGAATCATCACTGCAGATTTCCCCCTTATCCATTTCTCTGATCTTCATTTTGTCTGATTCCCTCACACAGCAAATTATGAAGCGTCTCATCAAACGCTATGTACTGAAAGCACAAGTGGACAAAGAAAATGATGAAGTGAACGAAGGTAAAGTGAGACTTACATTGAGATTCTTGTTTGCCATAAAACCAACCAATTGGATATTAAAAAAGGATGATTCGATGATAAAGCTAATATGATTTGGATGTAATAATTCTCAAAGTTTATGTAAGAGTAAGTCTGACAAAAACATGTCCAGGTCATATTGCACCACATAACTGAAAGAAAAATAAATTAAGTTAAAAAAAATCATATTTTGATTACAGAATATTAAGCCTATTTAAGGATCATTTTAATATTCTTTGCATGACAGTTATGCATATTTTTACCCCCAAATGTTCTTGACAGTGTTCATATTTTCATATATATTTGTGTTTGATCTGTAGGCGAGCTGAAGGAGATCAAGCAGGATATTTCCAGTCTGCGATATGAGCTGCTGGAGGAGAAATCTCAGGCCACAGAAGAACTCTCACTCCTCATACAGAAGCTCAGTGACAAACTCAACCCGTGACCTGTCCATCCACACTGACACAAATCAACGGTGAAGTCATTCTTTATGTGAAATACTTTATTCTATTCCTCTTTAATATGCAGAGATCCCGAGCTTTGTCTGAACAATGGCAGATGAGGGCATAAATTATACGTTTCTCCTTTAAGTTACTGTTAAAGGGATAGTTCATCCAAAACTGAAAAATCTGTCATTAATTACTCACCCTCGCGTCGTTTCAAACCTGTAAGACCTTCGTTCATCTTCGGAACACAAATTAAGATATTTTTGATGGAATCTGAGAGCTGTCTGACCCTGCATAGACAGCAACGCAACTGTAAAATGTATCTGTAAAATAATTCATGTGACATCAGGGGTTCAACTGTAATTTTACGAAGCTACGAGAATACTTTTTGTGCGCAAAAGGAAAAAAGCAATGACTTTATTCAACAATTCGTCTCCATTCTCGCCATTTTGGAGAATATCCGCTGGATGTAAACAACTTATGCTGTTCTGTGTCAGCTGTGTCACGCCGGATCTGTTTCCTATACGTTGTTGTGATTTAATCTGAACGGAAACCGCATATCCGTGTGACGCAGCTGACACAGAACAGCATACGCTGTTTACATCCAGATGATACTCTCCAAAATGGCGGTTCAGGGTGATGCGGAGGAAATTAATTGTTGAATAAAGCTTTGTAAAATTATGGTTGAACTCCTGATGTCACATGGATTATTTTACAGATCTCCTTGTTACGTTTCTGGACTTGGGAACATTTCAGTTGCTTTGCTGTCTATGCAGGGTCAGACAGCTCTCATATTCCATCAAAAATATCTTAATTTGTGTTCTGAAGATGAACAAAGGTCTTACGGGTTTGAAACTACATGAGGGTGAGTAATTAATGACAGAATTTTCATTTTTGGGTGAATTAACCCTTTAACTAGAAGGTCAAATGTGCTGTGACTCTACTGGACAGGTTTTTTTTTTTGATTGACAGCTCAATGCACTCAAAGATTTCTGTATTTGAATTTCACATACAATTTCCAGCCATTAGGATTACACAGTTTTTTTTTTTAACTAATAAACTTAATGTAATGCATATTTGTCAGTCATACATAAATGGTTTTCAGAAAGATTGTGTATCTCTAAAATGTTAATGTCTTTTACATACTATTGTTACATACTATCTATTTTTATTTATTTTTCATTTTCATTTTCATTTTAGTTAGGTTTAAAGTTCTAATTTGTTTGTGTGTTTTTTATTTTTAGTGTTTGATTTTTAGTTATTATATTTCTGAATATATTTTATTAATTTATTTCAGTTTTCATTATTTTAGTGCATCAAATTAATTAGTACGTTAAAT